TTTTACTTGACGTTACACTTCCTAAAACTCTCAAGGATATTTAGTTTGTTGAATAGATATTTTCCCCATACAAATATTCAAACGCTATCAAACATTTCAGTCTGAGAATCAACTATACGTACACCAGGAAGCTTCAGTACCTGATGTGTTCTCCGAAGAACTGCCTGGAGGACACCAGGAGCGAGCTAATGAGCAATATCAGAAACGTGGCCCTGTAGTGCAACTTGAACACTGGTCCGAGAACAACAAATACGTGATGAATAGATAAAAAGACGGAGGAACCGTTACAGGTGAATCTGAGTAGGTTCCATTACCGGGATTGTCGATGGCCACGTAATCCTGGCTGACCTTTAACTTGACGTGGTCCTTGAGGACCGAGAACGTGGTTAGCACGGTGGCCATGTCGAACGAGCACCTCGGGGATTCCCTCTATAGGATCCTCTAGAACCTGCTGGATCCAACGAGACAATAGAACTAGCAAGTGACTTTCCGCAATACCGATACAATGTTGATCCGTCCAGCACTGAGCATTCGAGGCCAGCAAATCTCAATTTCTTGTTATCAGCAACGATTGCGCAGAAGCTTAGAGTGACAACGCTTTATGAAAGTGGTATTACCAAAAGGAGGTAGAGTTATTATTGCGAAGACGTTCATTCGTGGGGCGATAACGCTAGATAACATCAAACTGGAGCGAGAAATACAATGACGACTCCACCCAGAACATTTCTCGGTGACTGTTTCGATTATTTACGATTCTTCTAATACACGTTTATGGATAGGACGATTCTCCTGTAGGAGAACGATGAACTCAAATTATTCTTCAAGGGTAGATTCTATAAAACATAGTTTTATATTAAAATCTTTCAGTTTGCAATTCTCAGTTTCAGATCAAAGTTCCAAATTTCATAATTACAAAGGAACAACGATGCCAAAGACATAGATTCTATGATAAACTTCCTACGATTAGTTTTATATTAATATATTTCAGTTTGCAATTCTCAGTTTCAGATCAAAGTTCCAAATTTCATAATTACAAAGGAACAATGATAACAAAAACGTAGATTCTATGATAAACTTCCTACGGTTAGTTTTATATTAATATATTTCAGTTTGCAATTCTCAGTTTCAGATCAAAGTTCCAAATTTCATAATTACAAAGGAACAACGATGCCAAAAACGTAGATTCTATGATAAACCTCCTACGATTAGTTATATATTAATATATATTTCATTTTAAAATCCACAGTTTCAGATCAAAGTTCCAAATTTCATAATTACAAAGGAACAACGATGCCAAAGACATAGATTCTATGATAAACCTCCTACGATTAGTTTTATATTAATATATTTCATTTTGAAATTCTCAGTTTCAGATAAAAGTTCTAAGTTTCATAATTAAATCCTCAACGTGCCATCGATGTTCATTCATCATCCAGCAATTCCAACAGTGGATTTAATCGACTGGGATCGTCAACTATTCGAATAGGAGTCTTATCTCTGAAAGCATATGTCAAATAGATGAGAGCGATAACAAAGGAATGTCTGCCTTCTGGTAAAACGTCTGGACCTTTTCCTATTCAGAGCAGAGAAAAATTCCTTTGACGTTACCTTACAATAACGAAGACACTTTGTCGCGTTAATCCTAGCGCAACGTGATCGTCTTATCTGGCAGAACGGTGCAAATTACGAAATTATTGTCCGTTAATCTCTATGAAACCGATGATTTCACTTAATTGCTTCTACCTCAAGGCGAACGCAATGATTAATTTAATCGGTATTATCTCTCCTTATCTGAAGTGTGTTATTATTAACTAATCAAGAACATGCAGCAATTCCTAGAAAACGAGTAGAAAAGTCATTGGGAATCCTAAATGTTGAGCAATAAGAAAGTTGAGATATATTTTAATTTTGATATTACAGAAACATTTTGTTATATTCCTTCCAGATGAATCCAGTTTGGTTACTCTTTTACTGAACTTTTACTGTTTAACTGCGATAACAGGTCAAGAGTAAAGGAGTCGAGCGAAAGTTGCGAGGAGAAACGTTATGGGAGGAATGAAAACGAGGTTCGGAACAGTGTATATAGATTGGAGGTAAGAGATAAAAGAGCCAGGTCGAAGGGAACGAGACCTGGAGGAACGGAACGCGATAAGGTGGCGAGAGGGGCCAAGACGAAACGAGCGAGCACGCCGAGAAAAGAGAAACGGCGAACAAGGACAGGTAAAAACTGGTAGGGGGGATAGAATGTCGAAGGTAGGACTTTGACCGGCCGTTGCCCCTAATGCGGTCTCGCCGCCTGCCTGCAAACCGAACAGATCCTGGAAAGAAAACTCCGTCCTCTGGTTTCTCGCTTCGTACACGTCCAAGAAGGTTTCATCATTCTCGGCTGGATTGCTGCCTACCTGCCCATTTACAGAGACGCGAGAACAGCTATACGCTCGCGGCGTCGTTCATCCTTAAGGGGGAAACCACATTGGAACTACAAGCATTAAGAAAATCAGACATTTATTTAAGAATTTTTTACAAATAACGTATGAAGTGGATCTTGATGAAACTTACTAGGCCTTTTGTTGGATATTTCGTTATAACTAGACTGCGGATCTTTATGCATTTATGGAGATAATGGTTATTCGTAACCAAAAATAATTTTTGTCGTCAATAACAGGTACTAGTTACAGGTATTAGTTAGGACTTTTATGCATTTATGTTCATGTTACAATATTTGCTATAATATGCATTTATAGGAAGTTTGAATGTGCGAGACCTACAAAAGTAAACAATATGCAGGAATATAGAAGAGATTGAAAGTAAAGTTCATGATACAATATTTGCTATAATATGCCTTTATAGGAAGTTTGAATGTGCAA